GGGGGAAAACCGATCGAGCACATCGAACGATGGCCAGACAGCAGCTTAAACATCTCAATGTCCTCGAATTTCCTCAAACCCCATCCTGTTGGCCTTCGCGCCAACGGCGGCGACGACGGCCCCCGGGAAACCCAAGGGCCCCGCTGGGATCAACGGGGGACACGCACGAGGAAACGCCAACCAGAAACTCAATAACACCGCACCTGCAGAGCGACAGTGGAGCCGACGCCCTCGCAATCGGCTCGATTCGACCACCGACCCGTTCGCGCGCGGTACGTCGCCATCGCAGCTGACGCGAATGACGCATCCCTTCTTCAAGAACGAACTCACTATGCGCTCGAGGTCGGGCTTGCCGATGACGGCCTGGGCCGCTGCCGCGTCGACGAGCCCGCGGTCGGCCATCTCGCGAAGGGCGGCCCCCGCGACTCGCGGCCTCGCCGAGCTGCCCCAGAAACGCAGCGCGCGACGTAGACGAGGAGCCGAGAGCGTCAAACGCCCCAAAAAACGCCTCTGCGCTGGGCAGGGCTGGCATCCCGGAACCTGACCCCGATCTCTCACTCTTCACCCCGCCGGCCTTCGAGCATAATGGCTTCCGACAGTCTTCCCGCCAGCGCTCTTTTCTCGCCGCAGTTGGCGCAGCGCGCGCGCTTCTCCAGATCACCCTTGCCGATGAGACGGTGGGCCCGGGTCGAATTGCCTCTCTTGCGGTCGAATAACTCCCCGTCGACCTTGCGCGCGGCCTTCAGCTGCTTCGCCCCCCCCCGCCCCCCCCCCCCGGCCATGCGGCGCCTAGGCTCGGCGATCTCGGCGAACGCCTGGCATGCCTCGTCCTCGTAGTTGTCTTCTGCCTCGGCGGTCGCGAGCAGCGCGGCCGCCTCTTCCCCCGTGAACTTCGCGCCGTGCAGACTCACCTGAGATTCGTCATCGCGCGCCTCGCACTCTGTCCCATCGGACGCGGCGTAGAAACTCTCGCCAGCCGTTGGTTGACTTCGGGGAATCACTGGTTCGTCTCCCATGTCCAGCTGCAAAAGAGAGCGACGAACAGAAACGCCAGACTGATTGATACCTAGACACCAAAATGCGCAAGTTAACGTTCACGCGCCCTGACAACTGCGACCCCCCTCGTAGAGCCGGGCCTTGGCGTTGTCGGGAAGGGGCAACCCATGCAGCTCAGCCAGTGCCATCTGTGCGCCACGGCGCACGACGTATTCCGTGAGAGCCCAAAATTTCCGCATGCCGCGCTCGACAAGTGCTGCCGTCTGAGCCTCTCTCTCTTCTCACGGTCACCCCGTCGCTCGCCACTCATCAACTGGAGGTGATCGATCAACATCTCCACTCCCTGGCTCGCGTCTAGACTCGCACGAATACCTTCGAACTTGCTCTGCAGCCCCACTGGGTAACCCATCGAGAACCTCCGGCGCCTGAGCGCCCGGTTGAAAGCAAACGCTCGGCCCGGGCCTCGACGTTGGCGACGCGCGCCTCGAGGTGCTCCAGACCGAGGAATTGGGGGGGCTGGCCGTAATCTCTGCTTCTCTCCTGCGGGGGCTTGAAGTCGCTTTGCCGCGACTCGAGGTCATCGCCTCGCCACTGATCTGACCTCCGAGACCGCCATCTCGAGACGCTCCACCAATATGATGAAACCCCCATTCCCGGGTAGCGGCCCCAGTCACCGACGCGCCGCTCCTGCTCCTCCCAGTGCTCGCACCGCGTCTGAGCACCCGCGGCGCCCCCAGCCTGTTCTTCCTCTTTTCGCCATTCACCTCCTGCGCCCACTTCGTCGCCCATGGCCATCGCGAAGCTGAAACTCCAGCCGTCGGCGCCCTCGCAAATGTCTGACGCCTGCCCCCCGGATTGGACAACCGCGCTCCGGCGACCGTTGAAAGTGGGCGGGGAAATGGAGGACATCAGTTATCAGAGAGGGCATCATCGACGACACGTCGCAATCCGCGCCTGGCCCTGGCAAGGCGCGCAAAGCCCATATGGACATGGGAATCCAAAGAGGAAGGAAAATAAGAGGAAAGAAACACCACGTGCTTTCGAGAATTTGGCATGGACGACACGGCTGGTGGAGCGCGCGCCCCCGCGCGCCTCGGGCGGGCAGCATGCGCGCGAATTCCCAGACGCGCCGTCGTCGCCCGCCACCTCACGGCCTGTTTGGCATTGGCCTCTTACACCCATGCGGTGCACCACGGTCGCCTCGCCCCCTTCACTGCGCACGATAACCGAATGCGGTGCGAAAAACTCGCGCTGCGGGCGCAATGGGCGGCCGAAGACAGCGACGGCCGCAGCTGTCACGCCGTGGCGAGGCGTCTTTCTGGGCTTCGATGGAGACCCCCGCCAAGAATCTTCACGGAGGACTGCGCCACGCTCACCGCATCGGAAGAAGAGAGAAACGACCGTCTGCACGTGCATTTCGCGAAAGTATATCGGGTTCACGTTTCCGATGTTGGGCCGGGTAGGAGACAGAGCCATGGGAGGTCACTTTAGGTGACATCACTTTCAGCCCATCGCGTCTTCCTTCGATCAGCCGCAAGGTGTCTCAGCATAAAAGGTCTTGGTCTCGATGGTAGCGGGCTGAATCTCATTTGTGGTGGCGGCTCCGCGATGGCGGTGCCTCAGTCTCGGATTGATGGTGCTTGGCCTTACCAGCTGAAGGGTAACAAACCGGCTTCTCTGATTAAGGGCAAGGGCGAAACGGGGGTTGTTGACAGTACCCGCGGCCTGTCGATCTGCAACCACCTGACCAAGACTTTCTTCGCCGTCTTGAAGGAGGGGCTGGACTCGTACTACAACGATTTCGTCCCCAAGAAGCAGAATGGGGCAGTTGCGGGCAGAGGCGCGGTCTTGGCGCACCATTTCTTGCTTTCGGCCTTGGCTTACGCGGCAGCATTGAATTGATGCTCTTTCATACTGTACGTTGGTCTTGTCAAATCATTTGATGGGGTATTGCGTGAGCTCTGCTTCGGCTTCCCGCAGTGCGTCGGCAGCAGCGCAGAGGAACAGGCTCAGCACTTGCTGTCTCTCGGTCTGACCGCGGGTAAAGCCTCGCGGATGCTCGAATACCTTGACACGTACGGGCCAGCCTTCTAAGCAGATAGGCGTGCCAGACCAGCTTCGCGCATTGATTAGCGCCCTCCACAACAAATGTTGGTTCCGTGTTGGCGGAGCCTCTGCGTCCGGTGTGACTGCAGCAGGCGGCCGGCAAGGCTGCATTTTAGGAGCGAGTATCTTCAATTGCTGCTGCGCCCTGACATTGGTGCAACTCGTGGCGGCACTTTGCAAGGAGGGGATCGCGACGCGGATTAGCTACAAGAGCTTTCCTTGTTGGTCCAGTTCTGAAGGCCCACCCGCGACTTTCGTCGAAGACTTGGGAAGAGTCATGTTTGCCAGCTCCCCGAAAATCCTCTTCAAGGCTATCACTTGTCTGTTGCTGCACATTGGCCAGGTGTCTGCCAACCACGCCATGGAAATAAACCATTGCAAAGGCAAAACCGGAGGCACGCTCCTGCTCGGGGGCCACGGCACGGTAGCAGCCTGGGAGAGCCTCCAGCAGCCCGATGAGAAACATGGTCTCCAACTGCCGAATTCAACGGGTACATACTTGAGTTTGTTGTCTTGGAGAAAGTACCAGGACTGCCCGATCCAGTCTAATCAGTCGAATCTGAAATATGTTCGGCGGCGGGCTCAGGAGGCAGGCGGCGCGGACGCCCCGTTGGCTCCACAAGACGCTCTGCTCCCCGCGCGTGCAGGAGGCGACGAAGAACTCGCTCAAGCGCTCGCTGCACGACACGCGTCTCTTCTTCAACGTGCACGTAACCGTGTTGTCGGCCTGTGAATGGGCGTGCTCAACGCCCCGCATATGCGAGTGTGCTGCCGGGTCCACAACCTGGTAAGGCTCGACGCCTCCTCCGTCTCGGACCGCGCTGTGCGACAGCGTGGCGATTACGCCTCAATGGACTGCATCGCATGAGGTTGGCGTATCTGCGGCGGCTCGTGTCTTCCTGCACGCCATTGATTACGTTGCCTTCTGCGCGCGCTGCAGATGGCGAGCCTCTCCTGCCATGGGCCCGCCAAGCCAGGGCCGATTCAGAACGTGCTTACCACGTCGCCTCAGCCTTCTCGCAGATTTTGCCTCCCCCCCGAGGCCATGAGGGGACCTGGCGCACTTTTATGATTGAGAACCCGAGTGAGTGGAACGAGGCCGTCCGCACCATTCATTTCGCAGAATCAACGTCCGAAGGGAGGCCCCGCTGGACACGGTGACATTCGAGCAATTCCCGTGCTATGAGTGGACGCAGCGTTTCAGCACGCGCAAAGGCTTGCTTTCTCATTTGCGCACCATGCACGGCATTAAAACAATTATGCGATATTTCGCCGGAACGGACCGAAAGTGTCAGTGCTGCCGGACCGTGTACAATGTACGTACGTACTCGCTGAATTGCCCACCTTACGGATAGGAAGCCGAAATGCCACGACTGGGTCCTACAGCACGGCACCAGACTATCCGAAAATGCGGTACAAAAGCTCGACGCAGCTGTCCGCGAGCTACGCTCGGAACAACGACGGGCCACACACACGAACGTGTTGTCTACTGGACCCGCCGTGTTTACAGAGGGCTCACGTAACGGGAAAGTAGGTTTTAGACCAACGGACTTCAGTCTGTCGCATTCGTGTGCAGCACCTGTTCCTCAGACTTCGCTTCGGCATAGAATAATAACATGTAATTCGTCCACGAAGGAGGACATGTGGAGCGGGGAGGCAGGGGCGAGGAGGAGGCAGGAGGCAGGGGCGAAGAGGACACAGGTGGAAGGCTGGAGGGAATTTGGATGGGTGGGGCAGGGGGAGAAGTAAATAAGAGGGGCGCGAGGGGGGGCGGCGAAGGGCGGAAGGGCGGGGAGACGACTCGATCCAGGAGCCCTCCCCCGCCGCGCCCACCCTCTGTTTCCCCCCTCTGCCGCACCGGGCCCCTCCCCCCGCCGCCAGCGCACCCTGCGCGTCTCCAGGTCGCCGTCGATGCGCGGGCACCACAGCGCGGGGTCGAAGGACACCCGTTTCTTCGTCGCGGGCTGGGCGCAGGCCGGGGAGCCGGGGCAGGAGCATGTGCGGTGCCACCAAACCCCCTCGTTGGGAGAACGCCAGCTATACATGTACGCCAATACGGCCAGGCCCATCCTGGGCCCAGGATCGGTGAGTGTGTGTGTGTGTGTCTGTGTGTCGGTGTGTCCGTGTGTCCGTGTGTCTGTGTGTCTGTGTGTCTGTGTGCTTGTGTGTCTGTGTGTCTGTGTGTCTGTGTGTCTGTGTGCTTGCGTGTCTGTGTGCCTGCATGTCGGTGTGTCTGTGTGCCTGCGTGTCTGTGAGTCTGTGTGCCTGTGTGTCTGTGTGTCCGTGTGTCTGTGTGTCTGTGTGTCTGTGTGTCTGTGTGTCTGTGTGCTTGTGTATCTGTGTGTCGGTGTGTCTGTGTGTCTGTGTGTCTGTGTGTCTGTGTGTCTGCGTGTCTGTGTATCTGTGTGTCGGTGTGCGCGTGTGTGTGTGTGAACGTGTGTGCGTGCGTGCGTGCGTGCGTGCGTGGGTGTGTGTGTGTAAGAGCGTGTGTGCGTGTGTGTGTGCGTGTGTGTGTGCGTGAATATGCGTGTGTGTGTGTGTGCGTGTGTATGTTCGTGTGTGTATGTGTGTGCGTGCGTGCGTGTAAGTGTAACTGTAAGTGTGTGTAAGTGAAGGTGTAAGTGTAAGTGTAAGTGTAAGCGTAAGTGTAACTGTAAGTGCAAGTGCAAGTGCGAGTGCAAGTGCAAGTGTGACTACCTACCAGACCACCCCAACCCAACCCGAAGACCCGAATTTCGGGTTGGGGGGGGTAAGGGTTCCATACGTGTTTTTTCGATGTTTCCCGACCCCCCCCCCACTGGAAATCGAGGGTAAATCTGAACCTTCGGGTTGGGTTGGGGTGGTTTGGTAGGTGGTGAAAGTGCAAGTGCAAGTGCAAGTGCAAGTGCAAGTGCAAGTGCAAGTGCAAGTGCAAGTGCAAGTGCAAGTGCAAGTGCAAGTGCAAATGCAAACGCACGTGTGAGTGTAAGTGTAAGCGTAAGTGTACGTGTCAGTGTAAGTGTAAGTGCAAGTGTAAGTGTAAATGTAAGTGTAAGTGTAAATGTAGATGTAAATGTACGTGCGCGTGTACGTGTAAGTGTAAGTGTAAGTGTAAGTGAAAATTTAAGTGTAGGAATACGTGTCAGTGTAAATGTAAGTGTACGTGTAAGCGTAAGTGCAAATATCGGAGGTGAGGGGGTGAGATCGAAGTGGAACGGAGAGCCCCCCTTCCGGGAAATCGGTTTCGGTTTCGGTTTCGTGTTCGTGCGTGCCGTGCGTGCGGGCGAGGCGAAGCTGCGTGGGCGGGCGAGAAATGCCCCGCGTCTGGCTGAGGCGCGGCCGGGCCAAAAGTCTCCCTTCCAGCAACTGGTGCCGCGCGGTGTCCCGCTGGTGTCCCGCCGGTGTCCCGTCGGTGTCCCGATGATGATAATGATGACGATGATGATGATGATGACGATGTTGATGATGATGATGATGATGATGATGATGGCCACGATGGTGATAATAATGGTGTCCCGATGATAATAATGATATTGATGATACAAATGTTGCTGGTGATGATAATGGTGTCCCGATTATGATGACGTAGATGTTGACGATCATGGTGATGATGAAGCTGATGAGATGATGAGATGCGAATGATGATGAATGAGATGATGATGATGGTGTCCCGATGTTGATGATGATGACGATGATGAGGTTGATGATGATGCTGTTGATGGTGATGGTGGTGATGATGGCGATGGTGACCCCAGGATGATGATGTTGATGATGATGATGACGATGATGGTGTCCCAATGACGATGATGCGGATGATGATGCTGCTGATGACAACGATGAGGATGTGATAATGATTTCTTTGATGGTGGTGGCCCGATGATGAAGATGATGATGTTGATGTTGGTGAAGATGATGATGGTATCCCAATGATGGTGATGATGATGGTGGTGCTGGTGGTGGCGATGCTGGTAATGTCATGAAGAGGATACTGATGATGATGATGATATCGCTGGTGATGATGTTGTCCCGCTGATGGCGATGATGCTGAAAATTTTGTTCATGATGATGATGGGATGATGATGATGGTGGTGGTATTCCGATGATGATGGTGTTGATGATGATGATGGTAACGATAATGGTGTCCTCATGATGGCGATGATGGTGATGATGATGGCCATGGTGGCGATGATGGTGTCACGAAGATAATGATGTTGATGATGCTGATGATGATGATGGTGTCCCGATGTCGATGGTGGTGTTGATCATCCTGGCAATGTTGATGATGATATGAGATGATGAGATGATGCAGATGACGATGATGATGACGATGGTGTCTCAATGATGCCGATGATGAGGTTGACGATGATGTTGATGATGATGATGATGGTGATGATGATGGTGTCCCGATGGTGGTGATGATGATGTTGATGATGATGAGGACGATGATGTTGGATGATGATGTTGATGATGGGGATGAAGATGAGGTGGTAGCGATTGTGATGATGGCGGCCCGATGGTGATGATGATGCTGATGCGGATGATGGTGGTCGCGGCCCGATGACGCTGATGATGGTGATGATGATGGTAACGATGATGATGGTGCCCGATCGTGATGCTGTTGACGATGATGATGATGATGCTGATGATGTCCAGACGATAATTAGTTTGACGATGTTGTTCATGATGGTAATGATGAGATGATGATGATGGTGGTGTTCCGACCGTGATGGTGTCCTGTTGATGCTGACGTAGATGGTGATGGTGGTGATGCTGGCGTCCCGATTGTGATGGTGATGGTGATGACGTTGATGATGATGGTGATGGGATGATGAGGCTGATGATGCCCCGATGCTAGTTATCATGATGTTGATGACGCTGGCAACGATGATGCCGATGATGATGATGATGATGGCGTTGGTTGCGGGATCGAGTGTGTTATCGATAGTGATATCGATAGTGAGCCCGAATGCGAGGTAGATTGCGGGATCGATAGTGCGAACGATAGTGAAATCGATTGTGAGATCGGCAGCCGTACCGATTGTGAGATCGATCGAATGAAAAAGACCGAGCGACATCGATTGCGAGATCGATCGGGTGAGACCGACCGAGCGAGACCGATAGTGAGATCGATTGTAAGATCGATAGCGAGACCGATCGATTGAGACGTTGGATCCCCCCCCCCCCCCCCCCACACACACACCGATCCGCCTTATCACCCGAAGGGTGGTCGCATATGTAAGTGCAAGTGTAAGTGCAAGTGCAAGTGCAAGTGTGAGTGCAAGTGCAAGTGTAAGTGCAATATTAAGTGGGAGTGGCAGTGTAAGTGCAGGTGCGAATGGACGTGTAAGTGTAAGTGCAAATGCAAGTGCAAGTGCAAGTGTAAGTGCAAGTGCACGAGTAAGGGCAAGTGTAAGTGCAAGTGCAAGCGTAAGTGTAAGTGCAAGTGCAAGTGCAAGTGTAAGTGTAAGTTCAGGTGTAGGTGTACGTGCAAGTCTAGGTGTAAGTGTGTGTGATGTGTGAGTGTAAGTGTAAGTGCAAGTACAAGTGGATGTGAAAATGTAAGTGTAAGTGTACGTACACGTGCAAGTGTAAGTGTAAGTGTAAATGTAAGTGTAAGTGTAGGTGTACGTGTACATGTAAGTGTAAGTGTGAGTTTAAGTGTAAGTGCAAGTGCAGGTGTGAGTGTAAGTGTAAGTGTAAGTGTAAGTGCAAATGTAAGTATAAGTGCACGAGAAAGTGTAGCTGTAAGTGTAAGTGTATGTGTGTGTGCGTGCGCGCGTGTGCGTGAGTGCGTGCGTGCGTGCGCGAGCGCATGCGTGCGTGCGTGCGTGCGTGGTGCGCGCGCGCGTGCGTGCGTGCGTGTGTGCGTGCGTGTGTGTGTGTTGGTGTGTGTGTGTGTGTGTGCGCGTGTGTGCGGGTGTGCGTGTGTGTGTGCGTGCGTGCGTGCGTGCGTGCATGCGTGCCTTCGTGCGCGCAAGCGCGCGTGCGTGCGTGCGTGCGTGCGTGCGTGCGTGTGTGCGTGCGTCTGTGCGTGTGCGTGCGTGGGTGCGTGTGCGTTCGCGCGTGCGTGCGTGCGTGCGTGTGTGCGTGCGTGCGCGCGCGTGTGCGTGCGTGCGTGCGTGCGCGCGTGTGCGTGCGCGCGTGCGCGCGCGCGTGCGTGCGTGTGCGTGTGCGTGTGTGGGTGTGCGTGCGTGTGTGGGTGTGGGTGCGTGTGCGTGTGCGCGTGCGTGTGCGTATGCGCTTGCGTGGGCGCGTGCGCGTGCGTGTGCGCGTGCGCGCGCGTGTGCGCGTGCGTGTGCGTGTGCGTGTGCGCGCGCGTGCGCGTGCGCGTGCACGTGCCGCGTGCCGCGCGCGCGTGCGCGTGCGCGCACGCGCGCGCGTGCGTGCGTGCTCGTGCGCGTGTGCGCGCGTGCGCGTGTGCGCATGTGTGCGCGTGCGCGCGTGCGCGTGTGCGCCCGTGCGCTTGTGCGCGTGTGCGCGCGTGCGCGTGTGTGCGTGTGTGCGCGTGTGTGTGTGTGTGTGCGCGTGTGTGTGTGTGTGTGTGTGTCTGTGTGTGTCTGTGTATGTGTCTGTGTGTGCGCGTGTGTTTGTGTGTGATTGTGTCTGCGTGCGTGCGTGCGTGCGTCCGTGCGTCCGCGCGTGCGTGCGTGCGCGTGCGTGCGCGCGCGCGTGCGTGCGTGCGTGCGTGCGTGTGCGTGCGTGCGCGCGCGCGTGCGTGCGTGTGCTGGTGCGTGCGTGGGTGCGTGTGTGCGTGTGTGTGGGTGTGAGTGCGTGTGCGTGCGTGCGTGTGCGCGCGTGCGCGCGTGCATGTGCGAGTGCGAGAGCGTGCGTGAGTGCGTGCGTGTGCGCGTGTGTGTTTGAGAGCGTGGGTGGGCGTGCGTGCGCGCACGCGTGCGCGCGTGCGTGTGTGTGTGCGTGTGTGCGCGCGTGTGCGTGCGCGCGCACGCGCCTGCGTGCGCGCGCGCGTGCGCGCGCGCGCGCGCGT